ATCAGATAAACATGACTAGGCAATCCCTAGACCAAGCTAAAAAAATTAGATAGAGGCAAGACAGAAATGAAAAGTATCACTCTTTTTTCCTCTTTTTCCAGTCTTAAGAAGAAAAATGCCTTTTATCTTTCTGTTCCCCTGTCCTAGCACAGCCACCAGGGTATACTTTTTTTCTTACCAGCAGACATACATAGTGTAAATGAGCACTGAGCTCTGTCATCTCTCTCTCCATATGTCATGTCCCTGATCAGACTTTTTTAGCTGGAAGGTTGTATTTTAAAACAACAAACTCTGCACTAAAAACCAGCTTTCATTGCTTTGAAAAATCATAAGTCTTATCATAAGATTACAGATGGAAAGAGTTGGAAGGAACAGAAAAGGAGGTAGCAAAGGGTGTACTTGGCCTGAATAAAAGGACAATTTTTCTCTCTGTTAAAATCCATCTTTTTTTTTTCTCAGGAAGGATTGTGCTTTGCCTTCACAAGTGGTATTTTTCAGAGCCCTAAGCTGTCTTCTAAATCCACAGGGATTGGCACACTGAGCAGGTGTACACATCTGCAGAAGAAGCAGGTTTTCTACAGGCATCGAAGCCCCCATCTCCAGGCTCAGGAGGAGCTGCAGTGGCCTCGGGATGTGACACGAATCTGAACAGTCTTAGAGCTGCTCTAAATGAAGCCGTTTCTGTTTGTTCACATCTCTGCTGGACAGCTATGCCAAGGGGACCAGCAAGAGCACAGCATGCCAAGCAAGAGCACACCTGTTAACCATGAAGCCAGCTGTTGATGTAGGTCCTAAGAACCATAAGTAAATTTGATGAGCATCTGCAGGAGCTGAGCACACCAGTGCCTGACTATTCTTTCAGTAGATAAATTCTTCCTAATAGCCAACCTAAACCTCCCCTGCACAACTTCAGGCCATTTCCTCTAGTCCTATCATTATTCACTTGGAAGAAGAGGCCAATGCCTGCCTCCCTACAACCTCCTTTAAGGTAGTTACAGAGAGCAATGAGGTCTCTCCTCAGTTTTCTCTTCTCCAGGATAAACAATCCTAGCTTCCTCAGCCTTTCCTCATAGGACTTGTTCTCTAAACACTTCACCAGCTTGCTTGCTCTTCTCTGGACATGCTCCAATAACTCCATGTCTTTCTTGTAGTGAGGGGCCCAAAGGTGAACTTCTTAAAAGTCAGAAATGAAAAAGATGGGTTAGACCCAACCGCCAGAAAGGGATGACAGGCAAACAGGTCCAGAAGCAGCCTGGGACACAGCAATGAAATCACCAAGTGAAGGAAGCAGCAATATTAGACATTGTGGCCACAGCACTGAACACTTAAGCACGTGTCTTCCGGGCATCAATCCACCTACCACAATTCACCATACCCAAAACAGACAGCTGAGCTCTCTGCTACACAACTGAAGAAATTCAGGAACCACAGAGGGAGACCCACCACAGGCAGAACCACAGTGCTGAAAAAGGCGCTTTGTAATCTAGTCTGTGAGAAAACCTGAGGGCAGAGATAAGGGCTGAGAAGATTTAATCTGAGTTCAAGTGACTGCTTCTTTTATTCAGGCACTTGGAAGTGCTGCCAAGGGCAATGTGTAGAGTCAGTCTGTGCTTTCCTTCCATCCTGCCTGCTGAAGTTGCTTCAGGGTTAGCAGGTTTGTCAACAGGCCAGAGGCAGCAAGGCAGTGAAGAAGGAGAGAAAAACAGGGAGGGTTTATCTGCTGTGGAAGAGACCTGACTGCTGATTCCATGGTATGAGAACTCAGATGATGCAGATATGACACAGATGATCAGAGGGCTGGAGCACTTCTTCTAAAATTGAGGTTGTTTAGCCTGGAGAAGAGAAGGCTCCAGGGAGACCTTATAGCAGCCTTCTAGTACCTGAAGGGGTCTACAGGAAAGCTGAGAAGAGACTTTTTATAAGGGCATGCAGTGAGAGAACAAGAAGGAATGGCTTTAAACTGCAAGAGGGTAGGTTTAGATTAGTCATTAGGAAGAAATCATTGGGGGGGGGGGATGAAACACTGGAACAAGCTGCCCAGGGAAGTTGTGGAAGGCGCCTCCCTGGAAGTGTTCAGGGACAGGTTGCACAGGACCTTGAGCAACCTGGTGTAGCAGGAGGTATCCCTGCCCATGCAGGGAGGTTGGAACTAGATGATCTTTAATGTCCTTTCTGACCCATTCTATGACTCTGTGATAATGAATATCTGTAGCGTCTCAGCTGCAGAAGCACTGAAGTAGAATTATTTATACAGTCTTGTTCATAAACCAACTTTCTGCAGGTAGCTGTGTGCAAGGCACTGAACGGCTGCATACACTGCATAAAGGGCCAAATGGGCTATTTTAGGAAATTAAGTTTCCTTCCTGATTGCCAGCAGCCTATGTGCCTGATTCTGGAAGTGTGCATCTTCACTACTAAATTTCACTGATAGTCTTTGAACCTGCTGCTCCTCTTTCTCTTTCCTTCCCATCACAAGCACAGGCACAAAACATCTCTCCCAAAAGCAGTGTAAAGAAAGCATTTAACAAAAGTGGATCAGCATCGCAGCTTCCAGTGTTACAATAACAGCCATGAGGTGTGGTTGCTTTACATCACTTCTTTCCTAAACCAGGGGCAGAATCAAAATAGATTCCTTTTCAAGCAGTCAGCTAAACAGCCAACAGTGAGACTTAATTTATTTCATAAAACAGGTTCTCACTACTTCCTTCAGAGAATTTTCATGATAATCCTTTGCACAAAGGCTCAGGCCATGGCTGACAGAGATGATGTGGCTGCCATCAGATTACTACAGAGTCAAAAACTGGGCACCTGACCCACTGGATAACTCAGAAAGAAGCATTAGCTGCCCACAGATCCAGTACAGCCAATTGAGACAGCAATTAACTGGTGATTAGAGAGAATTAAACTCTCCAGAAAGATCATCCGTGCAAAAGTCCTACATGCAAAGCTAGAAGCTACTGAAAAGGCAGAGAAAGGGATGTTTTTGAGCACTTCTCCCTCTTCAGGACTTAAACATCTCATTTGCAGCTGCATATTACAGACTTCTGATGATTCAGAGCCTTTTGTCAGAAGAAAGCAGCAATTCAGCAAGAATTCCTTTAAGGGGGATAGGGAGGGGCTGGGGCGGGGCGGGGAGGAGGGGGAGTAGGAGCAGAAATGTTGATGATTACACCCACCTCAGCTTGAAGTCATTCAGGACTGTACATGAATGTACCTCGCATCTGTCAGCAAAGTACCTTGATTAAAAGGCAACCACAAAGATGGATATGCTGGTCCCTCTTCCTTCCTTCCTGGGCTGGGTGACCGCTCAGTTACGAATGTGAGAGGAAAAGGTGATGGGCAGAGGTGGTGCAGGGGCACCAGCTGAGGTCACACTTTGCAGCGATTCGTAGGACCAAAACCCCAGGGTGTCGTGAGCTCTGTGGAGATTGGGGATGGTGCGTTTCCAGCACTTTCACTCTGCTTGGGAGTCTATGGGAACCTTTGAGAGTCCCTCTTCATCCCAGTCCAGCAGTAACAGCTTCAATACAACTTATCCCAAAAGAGATGGCATAAACCAGCAACCAAAAAAATACCTTTTTACGCAGTTTGGAATGAACGGAACATTAAAGCATATTAAACCAACCTTGACAAAATCGGGTTAGCTACAGGATTCCCTCCATCTGTTTTTTAATGTTCAACTTCCTTTCTTTTTAAGCATTTGCTATAAAGTTTACCTGCGCTTCTTATTTTCACCGAGGACACAACTTTCCCTGGTTACCAGCCGAAAACTTTACTTTTTAAAAAGGGAGAAAAACAGTTTTGTGGCGCCACCAGGTAATTTTCCATCAAGCCGCGAGAGGGCAGGTTGTGTACGGCAGCAACCAGATTTTTACAAGCAACTGTTCAAGACCAGTCACAGTTTTAAAGCCCTCATGATTAAAACTAAGGGCTAGCGAGTGGAAAGACCAACGCGCAGATCTTTGACCCTCGTATTTTGTATGTGCATAGTATCAAACTAACGCCCTGATTGCTTTTCTTCGGGGAAGAAAAATATCTTTCTGCTCGATTTGCAAGTCAGAACAGAGCAACTCCCTTATTTTGGGCAAGATCAGTACAAACAAGTTAGCTGCTATGCTACATTTTTTACATTTCTTCCCTCTCTCCTTCCTCTGCCCCATCGTCACTGTCTCTTGCCCATAACCAGCACAGCTTGCAAAGCAAACACTTGGGACAGCAGTATCCAAGCCTCCAAGGTGGTGATGTTAGCCAGGCACACACAGCCCTGTGACTCAAATGAAATATCTCATTCTCTCTGGGAATAGCAGCCCAGCCTGTTTCTTAAACTTTGGCATTCACATCACATGAAAGACAAAAAGGTGTCTAGTCCGCATGGCTAGTATTGAGCAGGCCTAGAAGAAATATCAGAAATCACTACCAACTGAAATTCTTTATTCAAGGCTACAAAAGCAGAGTTTTTCTAATACTCAGGACCTTACAAAATGCAAAATCTGAGCACTCCATTCATGCAATATATTAAGCACCAAAGCTGTTACAGTGTCTTCAGAACTTAAAAGAGAGCCACCTAAGTGTGATCCGAATCTATGTCTAAATAAAGAAATATATTTGGAATGTATGAAGGATCCTCCCTCTGTGGATCTGAGTAATGCAAGCTGTCCTAGCCTTGTTACCTTGAGCCCTGGGTCCCAGGCTTTGAAAATTTAGGTCTAGATTCATGACCCAGTGCAGCAGAGCCACAACAGAGAAGTATGAGCACCATTTTCAACTCTTGTCACAGGCCCCAAACACAGAGGTAAAACACAAATGTATACCTAGATGTCAGGGAACTCCTGCTCTTAAGTTTTAGGAGAATTTGAACTTTTTTAGAAGAATTTGAACTTTTTTAGGAGAATTTGAACATATGGAATTGATTGTGCTTCTGAAATTTACTGTAAGCAGGGGGCTCCTATAGTATTTTGTCAAATACTATGAAACATTCTGAAACTTGAAAAAATACTATGTTATTCAGAATATTTATTGCTAACTCTAAAATAATATATAATTCAAATATGGATATAGATTAATAACTTTCAGTACATCTTAGAGCTGCTAAATGAAATCAAAATCACATTGAGGTAAAAAATTATCTTGGCTATTCAGGTTGGTTTTCTTCTATTTGCATTCTTAGATATCTCGATCTAAATATATAGAGGATGACTTACAAGTGTCACACACTCCAGATAACATTTGGTAATGAGAAAAGTCTGATCTGTCTTGGGCCTTGCGCATGTATACCCAGAGACTTCATTTATTACAATTCACAAGATAACAGGAAAAGCTAAAGGAAAACAATGTAGTCAGCTGCCAAAGGAGTGTGTGATAAACTCTCAGCTAAGATCTCACTAAGGCAATCAAGGTCACTTCCTACAAGAATTAGCAAAGAAACAAAGAGAGGGCACTAAGCCTCCTCCATGTACTTTTTAGGGCTGAAGCTCACATTCATCAGTGGTTCAAAACCTCTTCTCTGCCTTCGGTGTTGGAAAAGTACAAGCAGCAGAACGAGCACAGACAGAGCCATAAGTGCTCCTCCAATTGTGGATCCAGCCATGACAGCCCACGCTTGGGTTTCTTCAAGGGAACCTGGAAATATGAAACATCTGAAGTGAGAGCAGCTCATAATTTCATTTTTCAAATCGCATGGTCAAAAGAAGGATGTCCCGTAGCCTGGAAATTATGATTACTTGTGTGGCTTAGTGACCCAATGGCCACAGGGGAAGCTAGTAATGCACCGTGCAACCAACACACATACCAGACATGTTTCCTGTCTGCAGCTGAATTTAAACTTCAATCTTTCATAGACTTTAAAGTGTTGAGAACAGGACAAATTAAGTGACAGGACAAAAAGATCACATTCTTATTAAATTTTGCCAAAATTATTAATGATTCAAGCAAGTCTTTAAATAAGGACACCTCAGCATAGCTGTTTCCAAGCTATTTTGGTGAACAGAAATCCCTCAGGTTTTCCTATAGGACCACAGAGCAGCTCATTGCCAAACTTTTAACTGAAAACACTACTTTGTGTGGTTCTGCTGACTGACTCAAGATCTCATCCTCTGATTTTGAGCCACTCTGGGGAACCACTGTCTTCTAAGATAATATTGTTCATTCTTATTATAACACTGCTCAACTTGGCTGAATTTTATGTTTTTATCTATGCTTTCAGAAGCAAAAATTGCCTGCTCTCCTGTTCTGAAAAATGCTACATATGCTGAGATGAAAAAAATTACATTTTACTAAATATTCACCAAAAACTCTCAAAAGAACTTAGGGTATTTAGATGTTAGTCGAACACCCAGACTTAAGGAGACAGATGGCTCAGGAAGATGTCACATTGCCTATAAAAGCAACTAAAAGTTTTGTGTCCCAATCTGCAGTCTCTGCCAACAAAAGAGTTGAGGGCAATCATGCCCTTGTTCAGTAAGGTCCCAAAATGAATTGCTTACCACTTTATCATCTTTCAAGTAAGAGCCAGCAATGTATTAACTTCTGTTGATTTCTAATGTGGTTACATGAAATAGAATTAGGAAGTTATAGATTTAGACAAAAGAGGAGGGTTTGGATGTAAAAGCTTCATTGTCTGAACATAAACCATGCAGAAAGGGATAGATAGTCTGCTTCACAGAGAGCTAACAATTTATTTAGGTGGGAGCTGAGAAGCAGCGGAATCACAGGCTGCCTTTGTTCCTCTGCAGGTCCCTCATGCACAGGGGGCAGTGGAGTTTCCAAAGCAGGAGGGAGGACAGCAGTCCAAATGGAGGAAGATTTGAACTCCATAAAAGGGAAGTCTGAATTTTCTGGGGACACCCCTGAGAAAACCTCTGCAGAAGCAGCTAGCATGCCTCCACAGGTCAGGGCTTCCCTGTATGAATGCAGCCTGAGGTCAAGGGTTTCCATCCTTTCTAGTCTATAGACCTTTAAACAGTCTCCACAGATTAAAACCACAGATATAGGGTAAGCATTTAGAAGAAATTCCTGGCCTCATAAGTTAGATAAGCAGCTACTGCCTCTCAAAGGAATACTGAGGTGGAGAAAGAAACTGCTCAGATTTGATCTTTGGTAAAGCAGCTGAAGCACAGTTTTCATGTATCTCTTACCCTTGTGGCTTTTCCAAGTATCTGTAACTCATAGTGAAAATTCTGGATTTCATATATAAATTTTTTGCTTTCCTGTTTTTTTGTCTTTATCTTATTTGTGTCAAAGGTCATTCCAAACAAATACACAAACCCTAAGGCACATAACGTCTATGAACATAGAAAACCTTTAAAATTGGGATTTTATAACACGAAACACCCAGATACATCTCTCCAGGGTATCCAAAGATTAATGCAGTTCACCTCAAATGAAATTCACAGTGCAGTATTATTCAGGGCCCTGTGCAAAACATGTATTTCCTAACGACCAATGTTAGCCAAACAAGCTCCCTGACCTCTGACAAGGATCCTGTAACAGGCGTAAGGGCATGTAGTGAGAGGACAAGGGGTAATGGCTTTAAACTGGAAGAGGGGAGTTTTAGGTTAGACATGAGGAAGTTCTTTAGTATGAGGGTAGTGAGACACTGGCACAGGTTGCCCAGGGAGGTTGTGTCTGCCCCGTCCCTGGGAGTGTTCAAGGCCGGGTTGGATGGGGCTCTAAGCAACATGGTCTAGTGGGAGGTGTCCCTGCCCATGCAGGGGGGTTGGAACCAGATCTTTAAGGTCCCTTCCAACCCAAACCAATCTATGATTCTATGATAAACAGTATGGGGAACAGGAGCCAAAATAAAAGACTCCTCAAGGCCAACGGAGCACCTTTGTCAATGCTGGAGCAGTTCAAGTTGATGCCTTTTGCAGCAGAGCAAACTCTGTGCAGACTAGTTGTGGCAGCTCACCTGGTGAGTGGTAACTACCTCTGTGCGCCACAATGCGCTAATTGCTAATGAGCAGATGGAAAGACCCATGTGCTTTGTGAAAGGTGCCTTATTTTCCATATGTCTGTATCCTTGTAAACGTGAACTGCCTCATCACTAGGCTTGGAACAGCCTCCACTTCTCTGAGACGTACCTGGCAGGTCGATGGCATAGGTGTAGCCAAGCTGCTCAGCAGTTTGGAAGAGCTCGTCGTTGGTCACAGGAGGGAAAAAAGGGACCATGTTATACCGCCTGTTGTGACCGATGGGGGCCAGCTCCTCAGGCCAGGCATTGTCAGGGGGGTTAAACCGCTTCATCCACTCATCAAAGACGGCATCAGTAAAGGAGTGAAGAACCTGCAAATCCAGCCAGGGACACACACACTTGTTAAGCTCTTTCTGAACTCAACAGTGTTTAAAACACTCTTGCCTAAGGTGGCAGCACCTTTTGAAAGAGAGAGAAGAGGATAATTAATTTAGGTGGGATTTACAGAATGGAAACTAGGAAAACTCATGAGAATTGAGAATTTATCTCCTGCATGGTACATTTTGTTGTATACATCCTTGTTGTGGCTTATCCATAACCTGCCCTTTCTCCAGACAATTTAATGTCAGCTGGCAGTGAATAAATGGGCAGGTCCATTCTCTCAGGTGAGGCCCAGGGAGCTCATTCAGGTGAAAGTACCTCTCAAACATATTTTGCCTTCTTTTGTCTCCTAACAGGTAAGGAAAATTGTAGGAACTTTGACTCCTTCATGCTCATTTTATAATATGTCACCAGCTCCACAATTCCAGGCACCCATGAATTTGGTCAAGTCTTGTCCAGTGAGTTTATAGGTATACAAAGTACTAATATAGGAAAGTTGTTTCTAACTTGAGTTCAGACAACTACCACGAATTTCTGGGGCAGTACAAATTAATTTCTGATTTAGTCATGGTTTTTAATTATCACCCTGAAAAAGAAACAGAAAATATCCTACAGAAAATAATCTTCCATATATAATTAGAACATAACAAAATAAAGTTTTCATTGTGTAAGAAAGGAATTAACATAGGAATTCAATTATTAAGAAAATAACCTAGAGAAGCACTACATAAGTGTTTGGGCTAATTTCTCCAATGAAAGATTGCAATCTTAAAATAAAGGTAAGAAAGAAATTAATTGTATTAAAATTCCTCTATATAATCACTGTGATTTAATCTAACAAAGAAGAAAAAAAAATTGGCATTAATTTACTATGAAAGCTGTGTAAGGGAAGTTGTTTCACTTGCACACTGCTGTTTGTGCTGCTCCTTGCAGAGCAGCACTGTGCCAATGCACCAGTGAAACCACATTACCTCTGTTCCCCAAGAGACCCTAAAATTAGATGTGCTTCCTTTTAGCCTGTGCAGTTTTAAACAAAGAAACATACTGCTCAGTCTAAAATAACTAACCCCACTTTCAGTTTTTCTCCTTGCTGCAAAATTGTCTAGGATAAGCTATTAAATTTAGATACCACCTTATGAGAGGATTCAGGGCAACAAGACATGAAACAGCAGCTCTTCTCCCTAAAAACTTCTTCGCTCTTTCACAAATCAGCCTGGGATTTCTTCCCTGTTTATTTGACCATGACACAGGTGTGGCAGCATTCAAGAAAAGATGAAAGAATTGTTCTTTCACATTTAAATGACTTATGTTTAGGGAATTCACTTTTCTGCAAATATCTGGTGAGATAAGTGCCTTTGAGCCACTGCCACTCATGCTGAGGGAAAGACATACCACAAAGATGGGATCGTTGGCGGCTGCGTGAGGGAGATCACTGGTCCCATTCAGGAAAGATTTTTTTTTAAAGAGTGAGCCAAATTATGAAGGCTCAGCATCGGTGTGTTAAGGGCTCCACCTGGTTTATTGAAGCCCTCCAGCGCATTCCTGTGGATGGGTGAAAGCAGCATCAAGTAACCATATTTGGCTGACAAACATACATGTAAAGAATACACGTGACCCAGCTGGCTCCGGAGGAACCAAAGGACAAACCTGAAGCTGAAACTGGAATTGCGGAAAAAGGGGGGGCTGTCAAACTCCTGCAGGGAAAGGCACCTCCTGACATCCTCTGGGCTGGGCAGCTGCTCGTTGGAACCCTGAGGTGGCCTCCGCCGCAGGGGCCCTTCATCACTGCCATTGCACAGCGTGACCAGGCGGTTGTACTCATCCAAGCTGAGGGTGCAACAGGCAGAGGCACAAGTCAGAAGTAGATTATGACACCTGGCTTGTTGGCCTTTTGTCCCATAGTATAAAAGAGGCCTCAGCTACATGTGTGAGAGATAAGGGGTTAGGGGTGACACCTCCTGAGGCTGAAGTTATGGTAGGACTGTCAACATGCAATGACTTTCCATGGCTTTGTGGCCTTTGTGGACAATCAGTCATTTGGACCAAGACTCGCCGGGCTCGTCCTTCGCAGAGAGAGGACACTTAAGAAAAGGCAAACACAACTCCCTTCACATCTACTCACTCCCCCAAGAGCTTTGGGAGACAGTTTTTGCCAGACAATCTAAAAGAGACTTGAATTTTTTAATTGAAAAATTTTCAGTCCTGAGTAAGGACTAGTTTTTTAACACTTAACAAAGGGAAGAATAAACAGGAAAGTTGGACACTAGGAAATAGTTAATTCCTGTGAAGATGGTGAGATGCTGGAACAGGTTGCCCAGGGAGGTTGTGGATGCCCCATCCCTGGAGGTCTTCAAGACTAGATTGGATGGGGCCCTGAGCAACCTGATCTTGTGGGAGGTGTCCCTGCCCATGCAGGGGGGTTGGAGCTAGAGGATCTTTGGGATCCCTTCCGGCCCAGAGCATTCTATGATATGATTCTAAGTTCCAGTGTGCAAGAAATGACAGAAAATGGGATTTTGCTTTCCATCCCTGATCCCTTTTAGAGGAAAAGCACCAGCAATGGATTGCATCCTGTTTTTCAGGGCCTGGAGGACATCCTGCTATTTCGGAGTTTGACTACTAGCTAAGGGGCAAGTACTTTGTGTCAGGGAGAGAAAGAGGGAAGGAGGAGGAGAAAAAGAGCATAACACTTGTGAAAAAGTCTGTGCTATTCAATATAAAAGGAAACAGCATTTTCACAAACTACTGAAGTAAACAAAAGCTCTTCTCTGTTTAACCTTGGCAAGGCAAAAGTTTAGTCACTTCAGTTTTCAAGAAAACACAAAGCCCTATTTATCTTAGAGAAACAGTAGGGGAAGATGTAAAGCCAGCTGGTGCCTAAAGCTAGAATTTCAAATAGGTCTTTAGGTACCCACAGAAAGAGACTTTTGAAAAGCCCTGAGCTCTTGGTAACCCCATCTGACTGACTGCATGCTGCCCAGGAGCTGACAGAGGAATGTTACATGAGTATTGTAACCAGCAGCATCTTATGTCGTAGCGCCCCAATCCTGCACGTGAACACCCATCACAGCCCTGCTCCCACACCAACCAGTATATGCCTACAGAGAGCTGGCAGCAAGCACAGAGCTGTCTCTGTGGTGTTTTCTGGGTGAAATCTCAGCTGCTTCAAAGTCGGTCCCCAAGTTGCACTAAATATATCAGGACTAAGATCTCATCCAATACAAGAAATGAGATTTTTTTTCACTCTGTCTCTAGTTTCCTGTATGCCAAAACAGTTTTCTGTTTCTGCTGCCAAAATCAGTCAGGTGTTTGTTACAGAGAACCAACATGCAGGCCTTTCTTCTTTAAAAAGATACTTGCCAATGAGCAAACTCCCCAAACTTTTAGCAACCATATATTGGCTGAATTGACTAAAATCCTGTACCAGAAGAATCATCTTTAAAATATGCTTCCGTAATACCAGAGGAGGAAGTCTACACTGAACCATATGCAGACAAACTGACCATGATTCCTAGTTTTTGTAAGGCAACTTAGCTCTTTTTCTGTCACTTGCTTACATTGAAAGAGCAGCCTGAGCTCTCAGTACTGAAAATAAGCAAGGTTTGGTCAGTATTCAAGCTTGTCCTAGGTATTCTCTTACCTATTACAAACTATTTGCCATCGGGAGAACCTGGAGCTCGGGCTGATCAGCCCTGGGTCATCTGGCCACGATGCTCCAAAGAGCTGATCTGTACAGACATCACATTCGTTTCTGCCTGTGGCAAAATTCCAGTAGGGCAGAGCAAAGGAGTCGTTGCCCATCAGTCGCTGCAATGGACAGAAACGTGTTAGCAGGGAATCATCTTCAAAGGAAAGAGAAAGAAATGGACTCCTGCAAGTTGTTTCACTGGGTGTTCATTGGATATTTCACTGGATGTTTTGCTTTACATTCTGCATTTCAACTACATGGACTTCACAGTGCTGCTCCAACTCCTTTCAAAAGATTGGGGTGTTAAGTCAGTCCTAGCAAAGACATTGTCACAAGTTACTCTGGTGTTGGCCTGCACTACTTTTGGCCACGTTAGGCTTTCTACCAACTTGTGGAACAGGCAGGAGAGCAGGAGCAGAGATGAATTAAGCCTTAAGGAACTAAGAGGTTTTCTGAGTGATGTAAGTGGGTAATGGGTAAAATTGTGCATGTGGTTTGCTTCCATGCCAGAAAGGCTAGCCCTAGGGAAGAACAGAGGAATACAGAACATTTGCTTGTGCTTGCTTGTTAGATACAATTTCATGCAAGCCAGATCCTGCAGCTATTTTGATACCAACCACTTTCATTAGAGATCTGCAGGGCTGAAAGACAGTAACATTGCCAATGTAGAAGAAATGCAAATGGAAATGAGTCCATGCTTCAGCAACTGACTGTTGAGAATGTCAACATATATTTCTTAAAAAGGTTTATTGCTAAATACGTGCATGAATTAAACAAATAGTACCACACATTTAAAAGGAGTATTATTTAGAGTTGCTTTTTTTACAAGAGTATCTCCACCATCAGGAGACAATGTCTGCTACCAAGTTTTATATGTAGATGTTGCTATGATTTTATTAATAAATGCTGCACATCTTCTGTCCTCTGTTGTGGAGATGAAGACAAAAATATCCATGATAAACTTTACATCGTTGTCCACAGTGAGAAACTGTTCAGTCCTCAGCATTTTGAAAGCACTAACTTGACTTTAAAGAAAAAGGATCAATGAGCAAACACTCCTGGAAGTTTGGTTAAGAATCTGTCCTAGGAAGTAGCTTACCCTTGGTTGGCTCAGCAAAGTCACACAGCAAAAGAGAGAAGCTGCATGAGGAAAGGGAAAGGCCGTTCAGCTAACCTGCAGGTCTCTCTCCAGCAACAGCAAATGGTACCTATGCCAAGTCACAAAGGCAGGTCCTTGATGGGAGAAATCAATACCTGTGAAGGGGCGGCCAGGTCCTACAAAGGGAAGATAAAATAAGCACTTAGGCACCAAACAGGCCTCAAGAGAAAGTAGTAGCTTCTTCTATTTCCTGGAGTGGAGTTAAACAAAAATCTGCAGCTCTGCGCCTTTGGAAAGAGCGCACACATTGGAAGCTACGACGTTTATATGGGACAAGAGAAACAAATTGTGGGTGTTATTTCAGCACTTCTCAAAACCTCACATTCCCCCAAAAGTTTGATATTGTGAAGACTTCTTATCACTTTGGTGGATTTAGGTCTTAAGAAGCAGTCTTATTGTTTAAAATCTTAGCTCCTTGTTAATATGTACTACATTAGCTCTTTCTCTTCCTCAGCCACAGGACTTACACCATGTATCTATCAAGAGAACCTCAGCATTTTCCATAACCTGCCAACACTAATTCAATATCCTTTTTCAATTTTCTTCAAATCATGCTTGTTATTTCTTATATTGGGCTCTTGTTATTACACATGAGAACTAAGACACTCAAAGGTTTCAGACCACTTCTGAATTTATTTATCACTGCAGCAGCACTGGAAGTTGCCTCTTTCCC